TCTTCTCAGACCTAGAAAAAACAACACAGGAATTCATATGGAAACACAAACGTCTAAGAACAGCCAGAACAATCCTCAACAAAAAAACAAAGCAGGTGGTATCACATTACCAGACTTCAAACTTTACTATAAAGCTACAATCATCAAAACAGCTTGGTATTGGTACAGGAATAGGCATATAGATCAATGGAACAGAACTGAGATCCCAGAAGCAAAACCTCAATTTCTAAACCAACTCATCTTCGACAAAGCCTCTACCACCTACCACTGGGGAGAGGATAACCTGTTCAGTAAATGGTGCTGGGAAAACTGGTTAACCACATGCAGAAGACTGAAACAGGACCCCTATCTATCCCCATACACAAAAATTAACTCTAAATGGATCAGAGACCTAAATGTAAAACCTCAAACCATAAGAACCTTAGAAAATGAAGGACATACCCTCATGGAAATTGGAACTGGCATCCAATTCCTGAACAAAACCTGAAACCCACAGGCCATAAGAGATAAGATAGACAAGTGGGACCTCATTAAACTGACAAGCTTCTGCAAAGCCAAAGAAACCATCAAGAGAGCAGGGAGACAGCCTACAGACTGGGAAAAAGTATTTGCCAATTCCAGGCCTGACAAAGGCTTAACATCTTGGATCTACAAGGAACTCAAATGTGCTAAAAAGAAAAAAACAACCCCATTATAAAACGGGCAAAAGATATGAACAGACACTTCTCAAAAGAAGACATCCGAGCAGCCAACAGACACATGAAAAAATGTTCAACCTCACTCATCAGGGAGATGCAAATCAAAACCACACTGAGATACCACCTAACTCCAGTCAGAATGGCAATTATCAATAACTCAAAAAATAACAGTTGCTGGAGAGGGTGTGGAGAAAAGGGAACACTTTAATGTTGGTGGGAGTGCAAACTAGTACCTCTGTGGAAAACAGTATGGCAATTCCTAAAAGCTCTAAATATTGACCTCCCATATGACCCCGCAATCCTCCTACTAGGAATATACACTGAAGAACTCAAATCACTCTATAAAAAAGATACCTGCACACGTATGTTTATCGCAGCGTTGTTCACAATAGCAAGAACCTGGAAGCAACCATGCTGTCCATCAAAAGAGGACTGGATTTAAAAAATGTGGTACATACACACGATGGAATACTACGCAGCCATATAAAAGAACAAAATAATGAATTTTGCAGCAACCTGGATGGAACTAGAGTCTGTAATACTGAGTGATCTCTCACAGAAACAAAGATCTGAGTATCACATGTTCTCACTCATATAGTGGACCTTGAACATTCAATGTAATACTATAAGAAAATGACTGACAGTGGTGGGAAACTATGGGGGGGAGAA